AAGTCAGGTAAAAGTTATGTACATACTCTTGTCCAGGATCCTTTAGGGGATTCCTTTTTTCTTACTGCAGTTTATGGTGCAAATGAGGAGATTGAACGTAGGAATACCTACTCTGAGATTGGCAATTTTAAGGTTGAGGGTCATGCTTGGATAGTTGGAGGTGACTTCAATGCAGCTATGAACCCCCAGGAAACTTCTAATCAGAGTCAAATTACGTCAAGTATGTCAGACTTTGAGGGGTGGTGCAATGGTATGGAGTTGGAAAACGTTAATACTCTTGGGCCAATTTATACATGGACAAATAATCAGCAGCTGAACCCGATAGCAAGGAGGTTAGACAGGGCGTTGGTTAATGTGGACTGGATTACATCTTTCCCTCATTGTGTTATTGAAGCTATTCCAGGTACCTTTTCAGATCATAGTGGAATCCTAGTACAAGTCAAGCCACTGATTAAATCATTGCCGAAACCTTTCAAATATTTTGAATTCTGGAGTACACACCCTGACTTTTTGAAGATAGTGGAGGAGGCCTGGAAAACTTGTGGTGTTGGCTCCCCCTGGACAATTGTTCAGACAAAGCTTAAAGAGGTAAAGAGGGCTCTTCAGAAACTGAATAAGGAACATTATGCAAATGTTAGTACTCAGGTTAAGGAGTTAGAAGCAAAGTTGTTAGGGGCGGTATCAGACTGTCTCCAATCTCCCACGGCCGAGAATTTTCAAGTATAGTCCCTACTTTCTTCTCAACTGGACTTGGCTAAACAGGCAGAGGAGGGACTATACTGGCAGAAATCAAGGGAAGAGGGACTCAATAGGGGAGATCGGAGTACTAGGTATTTCCATCAATCTGTGAAAATTCGAACTGCAAAAAAAGCTATCAGGCGGATAAAGAAGGACAATGGTGAAACTATTACCGATGTTGAAATGATAGCCGAGGAAGCAGTCAGCTACTATCAGAAGCTCTTTGGTATTGCCAACTTGGAGGTAACCTCGAATCCCCAGTTTCTAACTGAACTTATACACAAAAAACTATCATCTGACAGCAAAGAACTCCTCTGCAAGTCTGTTACTGCTGAGGAGATTAAGGAAACAGTTTTCCAAATGAACATCCATAAAGCACCAGGCCCTGATGGATTCTCCTCGGGGTTTTTCAGAAGAACATGGCACATTGTGGGTGAGGATGTCATAAAAGGGGTTCTGAGTTTCTTTGAGGAGGGAAGACTGCTCAGTGGTATAAATGCTACAGCTGTGACACTCATACCAAAGGTACTGAATGCTAAAACCTTTAAAGAATTTAGACCAATATCTTGCATTAACGTTTTGTATAAAATAGTTGCAAAGATTATGGCAAAAAGATTGAGTGAAGTGCTCCCGAGTGTGATTAGCCTGAATCAAACAGCATTTATAAAAGGAAGGCAAATTGTTGACAATATAATGCTCGCTCAGGAGCTAGTCAGTGGCTACCATAGAAAACAGTTATCTAGCAGGTGTGCTATAAAAATAGATATTATGAAAGCTTTTGATTCGGTAAATTGGGATTACCTGTTTATAGTCATGAGATTAATGGAATTTCCTGAACAGTATATAAGTTGGATTCGTCTCTGTACATCTACTGCCAGGTTTAGTATATGTGTTAATGGAGGATTAAAAGGGTTCTTTTGTGCCAAAAAAGGAGTGAGGCAGGGTAACCCCCTGTCACCTTACCTTTTTGCAATAGCTATGGAGGGGCTAACTGGTCTATTGAACATAGCAGCTAGACAGAAACTCATCCCATTTCATCCCATGTGCAGTAAAATTTCTCTAAATCATCTCTGCTTTGCAGATGATTTATTGATTTTTACTGAAGGTTCTGCTAGGGCTGTAGTGGCTGTGCAACAGATTCTAGAACAATTCTATTGGCAATCAGGTCTTAAGTGCAACCCTAGTAAATGTTCTGTGTTCTTTGGGGGTGAGTCAGTACAGTTTAAACAGAATGCGATTGCCCTCTCTGGCTTTTCTGAAGGTTCTCTTCCAGTGAGGTACCTTGGGTTGCCTCTTATATCAGGAAAATTATCAGACAGGGAGTGTGAAGTTTTGCTGCTGGCAATAACAAAGAAAATTCGTTCCTGGAGAGCAAGGAAATTATCTTACGCGGGGAGACTTCAATTGGTTACTTCTGTTATCACAGGGCTTATACAATACTGGTTACAGGTGTTTGTCTTGCCAAAAAAGATTCTTAAACGGGTACAGAAGCTTTGCATGGATTTCCTGTGGCATGGTAATGATACAGGCAGGGCAAAGGTGGCTTGGAATCGGTTGGCTCGACCTAAGTCTGAGGGTGGGATTGGGTTGCGTGATTTAAGCTCCTGGAATGCAACTTGTGCCACTCGTATGCTTTGGCTCTTAATGATGCAGTCAGGTGCTCTTTGGGTGGCCTGGATGCTTGCTTATCGTTGCAAAACTGGAAATGTATGGACAATGAAGGAGAATGCCAATAGTGCTTGGGCTTGGAGAAGAATCTTAAAGAAAAGACACATGGTGCAGCCTCTTCTTTCCAGGCAAGGCGACTGTGCTATGTGGAATGGTCAGGTAATGCCTAAATTCTCTGTCAAGCTAATTTGGAACTCCCTCCGTCCCCAGCATTGCAAAGTTGACTGGTTTAAGTTGGTATGGGGTCAATTCAATGTGCCCAGATTCAGTTTTATTGCCTGGATTGTCATCTTGGATGCTATTGTGACAAAGAACAAGCTTCTGAAATGGGGAAAACTCAATGAAGACTGCTGTGTCCTATGTCATAATGATAGTGAAACAAGAGACCACCTTTTCTTCTCTTGTGGCTTTGTTCAACAAGTTGCGCAGGGATTTATCAGAACTGACCTGGCCTGTAGAGCGAGTTGGGCAGAATCATTAAATTCAGCTTGCCAGGCTGTTCTGCGTAGTCAAGAGCAATTCTTCGGCTTAAAATGGTGCATGCTGATTGCTTACATATGGCAGGAGCGTTGTAGGCGTCTGCATCATGAACCTGAGCGAGATGTTGAAGTTTTGAAGGGCTTAATGATAAGGGATCTTCAGTTGCTGCATGCCCTATAGGTTCTTGTAGTTACAGGGTATACTTGTGGGCGGGAGTAGATAGTTATTTTTTATTCTCTTCTTTTATTTTCTGATCTCTGCAGGGTGGCCGCAATGGCAGCCCTTTCGTTGTATTGGTTTTGCGAATTGCAATTTGTGATTCGGCTTACTTAATAGTAAAGGAAACTGATTCAACGAAAAAAAAAAAGAATATTTAGATTAATCCTAAATTTTTAATTTTAACATAAAATATCATTGAAAAATTACATTTTGGTACCTAAAACTTTTATTATCACATTTCAGGGCTCGTTTGGAAGTTGGGATTTCAGATGATGTATTTAGCCGATACATGTAATCAGAAGAATTCATCGTTTTCTTGGCTTAAAATGAAACAGAATGCTTGTATTTGAACAGCATATGGGCCCACCAGAATCATTCATTATGAATGATTGTAAATCTCAACTTTTAGTAGAGATTATGTTTGAGGGATTGTTGTCTTACTTTTTGTTCCTTATTCTTTGAGGGACCACCAAAATCATTCAATCTCCAAACAATGTATTTTTCAAATTCATACATTGAAACAATGCATCTAATTATAATACATACATTGATTAAATACATCAATTTAGAGAATCCTAACTTCCAAACATGCCCTCAGTAACAAAACTTTTTAAAAATTATATATCAATCCAATATTTAGATGTCACTTGGATCCATTAATCTATTCCACCAATTTTTATGCTTCAATCTATGAACCCAAAAAACAATTTAATCCAAACCCATAAAATACACTAACTCATAAATCCAATCCATTTCACACATTAAAACCACCTCGTAACAACTTTATTGCACGGAAAATCCTCAACGCAGAGGAAATTGACAAGCAACAATTATTAGAGAAATCATTCCAACTTTTCAAAGGCAAGTTGTAAAATGGATGAAAAGTCTGAATGAAATGACCATTTCGCTCGTAGTAGAAATATAAGCCACGTCTTTTCTAAAACATCAAACATAAAATCATTGCATCGTTAGTAATCCAACCGTAAAATTGAATAATCATTTATGGACAGATGAGGCGGGTTTTGCCAAACCCAAACCCAAATTCATGGGTTTATCCGTCAAAAAAATCGGAGTAAAACTCAATGGGTTTGAAAAACTCAAACTCAACCTAATCTGTTGAGTATCCGCAGATTCATGGGTACCCGTGGATTTTTGTATAAAAAATTTATAATAACTAGTTTATTTCAAAATGAAAGTCCAACATAAATTTTCTCATACAAATTATTCATTAAAAAAAATAATCTAGAGCATACAAGCAAACGCAAATTATCAATACAAATTGTTCAAAATTAAAGATAAACATCTATAAACAACATGATTAATTGAAAGTTTTTTCCTCCTTATCAACTAAGCTTCTTCACTCTCTACTCCATAATATCAACTTCATTCTACACAATTAGAAATAACAAATTAGACATGTCTCCACAAACATAAACAAAATTAGTTGTTTAAAAATGATATATTGTTTAGTATATTAAATAAACCGGAAAAATTAATTATATGAGTGTGAGCGGAAGCCCATATGACGGGTATACCTAAACTCAAATCCAACCCAACCTGTAAATAGTATAGCGGAATTAAACTGGAACCCAACTAAAAATCCATTAACACAGATTTTACTTGATGGATCGGAGTAGGGTATCCGTAAGTTCGGGTTCAGCTCGCTACTCGCTAGTAGCCCAAAATGCTCGTTCCCCTTTTCCCGTATTCGGCCCGACATTATTAAATATAAAGGGTGGAGAAATTTTTATAAACAAAACGGAAAACAAATAAAATTCTTCGGAAGCCAAAAGATAAAGTTAAAAAAAAAAAAAAAAAAAACTGTAGCTATCTGCGACTCACTTTTTCTTCCAGCACTTCCCCTCTTATCCCTTTCCCACCGCTATCCCACCTAACGCTTGACGCTTCCTCCTCCTTCCCAATACCATAAAATCGCCGCCGCCGCTCCTAAAATTCTCTCCTTCCCCCTTCTTCTCTGGTTTCGCCGATGGATGTGAAGCGCAGAACCATACGCACTCTAGTCTCCAAGCTGAGCTCGGTGTCGGAGCGAACCCGGGAGGAGGCCCTAGCGGAGTTGCGACTCATCACAAAGCACGACGAAGAGAGCCGTCCGATCGTCGCCGAAGCAGGGGCCATACCTTACCTGGCCGAGACTCTCTACTCCTCCTCCCACGAATCTCAAGACAACGCCGCCGCGACCCTGCTCAACATCTCCATCTCCTCACGCGACTCCCTCATGTCCACGCGCGGCTTGCTGGACGCGCTCTCCCACGCACTCGGCCACCACGCCACCGCCACCTCTCCCACCGCCGTCCAGTCCGCCGCCGCCACGCTCCACAGCCTGCTCGTCGTCGACTCCTACCGCCCCATCATCGGATCCAAAAGGGACATAGTCTACTCCTTGATTGAGATTGTGAGGAGCCCGAAATCGCCGCCGCGGTCGATCAAGGACGCGCTCAAGGCCCTGTTCGGCATCGCTCTGTACCAGCTGAACCGATCCGTCATGATTGATCTCGGAGTCGTCCCGCCGCTGTTCTCGCTGGTGCTCAAGGACGGTAGGGTCGGGATCGTTGAGGATGCGACGGCGGTGATCGCTCAGATCGCCGGGTGCGAGGAGAGCGAGGCGGAATTCGGCCGGGTCTCCGGAATCAGGGTGTTGGTGGATCTGTTGGACGTTGGGACGGGTTCCAGTGGTAGGGTTAAGGAGAACGCTGTTGGAGCGCTGCTGAACCTGGTCAGAAGCGGCGGCGAGAAGGTCCTGCGAGAGGTGAAGGAATTGGGGGTCACGGCGTTGGAAGGAATCAGGGATGTAGCCGAGGGAGGGAGCTCGAAAGGGAAGAGCAAAGCGATGGCTTTGCTGGAAGTGATTGAAGGCGGATCCATGAACGGGAACCCACAGTTCTACTCCCTTTTCGACCATCACTCGTCTTGAACGAAAGATTTTAGTAGCTTTGTATGTAGATTATTATCTGTTGGGTCTGTAATTCATTCATAAGGTAACAAGAACAGTAATAACTTAGACACCGCGTTGTAAATGAGTTATAGAAATGGATTTGTTCGTTCATGTATTGCTCGTTTATGATCTGCTCGAAGCCATTGATGTTCTGATTCAGGGGTAATGGTGATAGTTCCGAATCCAACAGCCAACTTGTTCGAATACCCCCCCCATTTAGACGGTTTGTAGGCTCCTCTCCTCTTCTCTCCTCTGATGAATCTACGTAGTAATGGTTAAGATAAGAAATTGCACGCATTCTGCCGCCTTGATGAAACTTGGACTGTGTAGAGAGACAAGGGTGGAAGCAGGAAGGAAGCGCGTGCGTTTGTTATTTCTGGTTGGCCAATGTTGCATTAGTTATGCGGGGCGGGCAACTTGTGCGTATTAATTAGGAAGACACGGTTGTTGGGTGGAGGGCGATCACGGAGAAGTCATTGGCATTGGCAAGTGTGGTGTTGTATGAAATGATGTTGACAGACACACAGAATTGTCAATGGAGATGGTGTATTTGAAGCGGAAGAGGGCTGACATTTGGGACCTAGCTATCTAGCTTTATGCAAATGAAATGGAATAGTGAATTACCAATGGAAGGATCCGGTATTGGTTTCACGACGTCGTTGTCTTGGATTGCTTGCGGTTGCGGTTGGGCAATCGTACTAGTGGTGGTGGAGCACAAACCTCAGTTTCCTGCGACGATAAGATAATAATTAGGGTAAATACAATATAATAGTCAAATGTTTTGTTTTAAACAAAATAATACCCAAACTTTCAAAAAACAAAACAATAGTCAAGCCGTTAACTTTCCATCCATTTGACCATTAGTTGATTCTGACATGACAAAGTGTTAATTGGGATGGATTGTTTTTTATGTTGTGGCAAGCCTCTTCGTGAGTTATGGGACAAACAGTAACTTGCAAGGTCTAGTCGTAACTCCCAAGTAGGGCTGTTAATGAACCAACTCGCTCATGAACGGCTCGGCGTCCGATAGCTCGTGAACAAGCTCATTTAACGGTTTGGCATCAGAAAGAATTAGAATTCATGGATTTTATGTATTAGAATTGGGATAAATATTGTGTTTTATTTTGCTAGACTTTGCTATAGGTTTGAATGTATATTTTGTGCTCAATTCTAGCTCGATCTTGAGCTATAATTAACATTTTATGTGCTAAACTTGATTCTGGGCTCGTTTAACTTATTTGGCGAGCCGAGCTCGAGTAGAGCTCGAGCTTTCATTTTCATAAACGAGCCGAGCTCGAACTTGCATATTAAAGCTCGTGACGAACACGTGCTGAGCTCGAGCCTGAAAATATATTACCGATCCGAGCCCAAACCATTACAAAGTTCGGCTCTGCTCGGATCATTAACATCCATACTCCCAAGATCGAACTTCCTAATCGCTCCAAAATGTCCTGAAACTTTGCTCTTTCGCAACCATTCACGTACTAAGTCCTGAAACATCATAAACTAACACGCACAAGCGTAAAACAGGCCAAGAGAGCTAGAAACAAAGATCAAATGGTCAAGAAATGACGGGAAAACATGTTAGAATATGGCGTTATCACTCAGCCACTTGTGGTGGCGTCGGCAATGCCTTCTTAGGCTCTTCTCTCGTTTCTCCCATTTCTTCGGTATCATTGGCCGATGGAGGGGTCTTCTCTTCTTCGTTCACGTTCTTAGAAATAACCTCCGGGGTAACCTTCCCACTCCTCAAAAGAATTGCATTGCACCCAACATTTTGGTCTTTGGGGTTAACAATGGTTTGAGAGGGTAGGGCCCCCTTGGCCTCTTGATGAGGATCCTGGCAAGATTGTCAATTTGCACCTCCAAGTTTTAAAGGCTTGCTTGATGCCTCCTTAATCCCACCTCAACCAAGGTAAACTTTGTTGTTGCCACATCCCTAAATTGTTCAATCTTCTCGAACTTTTGAGTGCTCGTGCTCACAAAGGTGGTCACAAGGTCTTCAAGTTTTGCAAACTTGTCGGTTTGTTGGAACCCTTGACCTCCTTGAAGTTGAAATGGTTGTTGGAAGTTAGAGCCTTGGAATTGCGGCCTTTGTTGAATGAAGGTAAGCTTTGTTTGATAATTTCCCGTTAGTCCTTGGAAACTGGGGGGCTTGCATTGGTCGGAGAATATCAATAGAAATTCGGATGGTTCCGCCACCCCGAGTTGTAAGTGTTGCTATAGGGGTTTCTCCCCATAACATTGGCAATGAAACTCTCTTTCTCCTTGGCGGTGCTCGATTCCTTCATCATTTGACAATCCAAAATCTCATGGTTGGTACTTGAACACCAATCACACGCCATTAACGGCCTCTTTCCATGCTTCTTGTCCTCTAAGAGTGCCTCAATCAAACGATCAATCTTGGCTTCAAGCGGGGGACTCGCTCTTACACTTTGCACTCCCCTTGCGGTGCTTCTCTTTCCACTTCTTGTCGAGCCCCAATCATACCCTTTAGTTGCCATATCTTCAAGCAACTCGGTCACTTGGGGTGGAGGCATGTTCATCAATTTCCCTGACATAAGGAGTCAATGAGGATCTTGTCGTCTTGGTGAGACCACCATAGAAGGTCTCAATCCGAAATTGCTCCTCAAATCCATGATGTGGGCATTGGAGGAAGTAATCGGAGTACCTTTACCAAGCATCCCTCAATGTCTCATCTTACTCTTGCTCAAAATGGGTGATCTTCTTGCGCCACTCCACCCTCTTTGAAGGTGGGAAATAACGAGTCATAGACTTGTTAAGCATATCATCCCACGAAGTGATCGAGAGAGCACGCCTATTGTTGAACCACCTAGATGCATTGCCCTCAAGAGAGTATGGGAATAACCTCAACTTTAAAGCATCCCCGGGGACACCATTGACCTTCAAACTCCCCGCAAGTTCAATGAACTTCTGAACATGCTCCCTTGGAGACTCGTTACTAAGCCCATGGAATAAGGAATCATTCTGAATCATGGTGACAAGGGTGGGCTTGATCTCAAAATTGTTGGCGTCCATGGCTGGATGTCGAATGGCGGGTTGAATATCCATCGGCCTTAGATCCATGTAATAGCCCATGGTCCTCGGTTGCTCCTCTACGGCCGCTCCTCCTTGATCAGGTTGATTAGCCGCCATCTCGGCTTCACTTCCTTCCTCTTCAAAATCAACCCCTTCCTCAACTACAACTTCCTCTTATATCCTCCTTCTTGCCTCCGCTAGTTCTCTCTCACGAGCCAAGTGTAGGAGAGTTCAGTTGAGATCCTCGTCTAGTGGCGCCAAAGGTGTCGGATTACTCCGGGTCATACACCTCCTTGCACACACTCAAAAGAACCAAAACAGGTCTACAACAAGCAAGATTCACAAACTCAAAGCGAAAAGTAAAAGCTAGATTAACACCAAACAGTCTTTTCAAAATAATGAACCGTTGGTTCCCCGGCAAAGGCGCCAAAAATTTGAAGCACCACTTTAAAATTCCCAATTAAGGCCCAAGTATACACTTTAACTAGGTACAGTACAGGGCAAGTATGTTTAAATATCGACTCGGGCCGGTTCATGTACCCCTACTTCAATTGCTTGTAACATTATCTAGTGGTTGATAATTGGTGAAAACAACAATCTAAAGCTAAATGTATTGCAAAAGTAAATGGATTTAACAATAATTGAGAAGTCTTAACCTGTGTGTTGCTCCCCCTAGCTAGCAATTATGAATTGTTGGATCGTACGGTCTTGTGTGGTGAGGGGGTTGTAAACCGTAGGGAAGTGTAACAAGTAGCTAAGCGCAACTCTCTTAGTCTCTAGGTCGAGGGAAAGGGATAAGATCCAAGCCACCAACGTAACTCTCTTGACCTATTGACTAAGGATTTATTAGATTTCACAGTCGAATCAGAGTTCGGACGGCCACCCACAACCAAACCCTAGGTTCTAATACGAGAAAGGAGTTTTGCCTTGCATTAACCTAACCTACGAGACAATGGATTGCCTAAGAAAAACCAGGATTCAAGCCTCTTTCAAAGAAAGGAATGGGGTTTTCTCTCTACCTAGGTTAGAATGGCAATTAGATTGATAGGCTTTCACACAACACAATCACTCATGAATACCTCCACATTCACATTAAACACAAACACACACAAATCATTCAATCCATACAAGCATTCACATACTTGTAGCTAGAGTTTACAAACACCCAAGTGAAAGAAGGGACTACTTCATTCTATGAGAAGGGAAAACACAAGAGAGAAGAAGGAAAACCATCAAAGAGATGCTAGCCTTGCTTCTTGTGTTGAAGAGATCCTCATTTGTGGTAGGAACTCCCAAATCTTTGCTTGAAGATGAAACCCTAGCTTCTCCTCTTCTTTGGTTCGTCACTTTCTCACGTTAGAAATCTGAAGAAGAAGAAGAAGAAGAAAAAGTTTCTCACACTAGGTCTCTCTCCCTTTTCTCCTTTGGCTCAACCTCCTTTATATACCCAGATCGGGCTCAGTTCACGACTGTGAACTGAAAGCCCAGACCGTGAACCAAAGTTCAAATGCGCCGCATCACTAATCCCAGTTCACCGGCAATGGCATGATTTCACGGTGTTACGACCGTCAACAGACTCGTGTCCAATGAAAACCATTTGTGCTCTTGATGCATGGATGTTCCCAGGAATCGCCTCCATTTCACGGTCTTAGTGACCGTGAACTCACAGCCCAAACCGTGATCTACTATTGTTTCCACCATTTGACTTGATTTTTTGCCCTTTTGTCCAACTTTCGACTCCGGGGTTGGTTACACCTGCCAAAGTCTGAAAAACACAAAAACAAGGCATGACCTAGCGTAAAACCAAACCTCTCAGAGTCAAAATGCTTCAATCGTACTCAGATAGTTTGACCGCTCACTTTACTAGTCTGCCCGACACCTCCATCGAACTCATGAATTGTATGAGTGGGAGATTTGTGAGCACCTTCACTTGGTGGGCTTGGAAGTAGGGCCTGAGTTTCTGTGATGTCCTTATGACTCGCTCAAAACTACACCACGAATAAATCCCGGCTAGAGCCCAAAATTTTAAACTCTAGCCGGGTGCAGTATAGAGCAAGTATTTAAATTTTCAACCCGGGCTGGTCCATGTACCCATACTTCAATCGCTTAAGTTGTTATCTAGCAAAACAGTTTTGGGTTTTCAAACTAACAAAACTACAAACTAAACAATCAATAAAGGAAAATTCTAACTAAGGGAGCTTCTCCCGGGAGTTGCTTCCCCCTAACTAGCTACCATGACTCGTTAGATTGAATGGAGTCGTGC